TTGTACTCTGTTGCGTATATGATTCTTGTTTCCACTGTTTCCACCGAATGTCCCTAATATCCTTTCTCCGTGGGGGCGTTCTTCTATTTGTTTCCTTTGAACTCTTAACGTTCCGCGCGCCTGATCCGTAAACATATAGAGAGCTTCAAGGCAAGAAGTGGTTCCTTTGTACCGATTAGACCTGGACTCGCGTCTCGATCGATCATTCCCGCGTCCTCCGCCGCCATAAATCTCTATCTACGAAGCGTCTCGGTGGACATCCGGCCGCGAACCGGAACCGAACCTGCCCGTGGACACGCCGCGAGTCGCGCGCGATTATAAACTCTCCCTCGCCGATCGACGAGCAATAAAAGACTGCGAGGAATCGCGAATATAAATGATTCTCTCCCCTCTTCCTCCGCTATTCCTCGCGCGTTTCGTATACAAGTGTTTCCGATCGTATACCTCGATACCTTCGTATATGTATGTACAATATAAAGTTTAAAAAACCCGAGAACTCACCCCCTGAATCGTTCCTGATAACGAATGTGGACACCTGAACCCTCTTTCCTGCTATTTATTGTCTTGGGATTAACTGACGCTACGTCGGTGCTAAGATCTACTTGTTCCTAAACGTTAATCTTCTCGGAAGAATGCCCCGTAAACGGAAGGGGTGAGTCCGGACGTCGCTAAAAAATCGTCGCGGCTCGTCTCGCGTCGCGATCCACGGTCGACCGATCCTCCCTTTTCTCTTTATCTTTTTTTTTGATTCCTCGGATTCTAACTTGTCCTCCCGTTCTTTGTTTTTTATTCTTTTCTCTTTTTTCCTTTCCCACTTATTCGGACGTATCGTCGCGTGCGCGCGATGCGGGTTCACCGTACCCGATGACATCGCGTCTTATAGATGGCTAAAAAGTCACCGAATCTCCCTGCGTTCATCGATAAAATCCTCTTACAGCCTACTTGGGGTGGGGGATGGGGGGTTAGTATACTCCGAGTATTCTGTAGAACCTACTTATCTAGGCGATAGTCTAAAAACTCGAAACTCGCGGCCAATGTGAACCGCGATTATCAATTTCCTCGATTTCTCTCATTCGCTCGATGTCGCAGGCACACACTCCTTCCACGCACGCTAAAGAACGAGATTAAAAAAAAAACATAGGCAAAGGAAGAAAAACGAAACATGAAACGGACGAATCCCTTCGTTTGAACCGCGTCACGCCACTACGGTATTGCTAAGAAACTTGTTTCCTTTTTCCTCGTCACTAGGCGAACTAACGTGTTTATAATTATTCATAATATGTACTCTCCGTAATGCGTGTATATATATATATAATATATATCTTGTATACGTGTATAGGCTACGAAGGTATTCCGCGAGAAATCAAAGTAGCTCGTGTGTGTATCATTAGTAGGAACCATTTCGAAGATTCGATCCTCTCGGGGCAGGGTCGCGAAATCGCGCGGCCGCGATCCACGAGAACGTCACGCGCGACGCGTGAATTAGACGACATTTGGCAAGACCGACCACGCTTCTCTCGATTTTAATAGAGGGGGCAAATATAGGAGAAAAATGCGAAGAACATAACGGTAGATTTATAAATAACGTGAATGGGAAGATCGTTGATCCAGATCAGCTCGCAACAAGTTCAATGAATGCTGCAGGACCGATTCTTCCGCGGGGAACGAAAGAAATGAGGAAAAGCTGGCCGTTCGATCGATCCTTGCCTTCGTTCGTTCCTCGATTCATTAACTTCTTCGTTTGTTTGAATTCTTTTCGCCGATCTTCAATACGAATCGTCTGAATATAAGAATACACGAGCAACTAATCGTCTAAGATTATGATTCCGTGGTCTGAGGGGTCTCGGGGGTCGATATCGACAAAAACTTAAGTACTAGAACGTCATGGCAAGCCCTGGAGATAAATCTAGCCCGATCAATCGAGAATTTCGAACCAGAAGAACAAAAGGAGGAGCGTGAGATAGCGAGAGGAACGATAAGGGACCGTCAGCCGTCGCTTAGGATCGTTTGACTCCTGAGGCACTCGCAGCCCGCACGACATTTCGCCTATTCTGACCTCTGGGCCGATCGAAGCACGGTGTCCGAGCGAAGGGGAAGAAATACTTCGAGAAGTCCAATCGATCTAATTAATGTATCCATCGTGGATACGATAAGCTTGATTTTATCGGAAATTTCATGGTGAAAGTAGCAAAATTCTCTAGACTTTCAAGCAATAATTCAAACTATATTTGTTCAAATTCAGAGACAGTATTCTCCGTGCCAATACCAAATATTCTGGTAATTTTTATCGAAGAAAACGGACATTGCATATCGCAAAATATGATCGTAAAGAGTCATCGATATGTTCGACGCTCCGAAGATTTCAATGCGTGGTAACGGAGTATCACTGAGCTTCGCTTCGAAATTCGATCGCTCGTAAATACTCTCAGCAAATTCCACTATATAGGTCATAGAAACGGACACGCGGTGTACAGTTCGATATCTCTATACGCTGTTTAGCAGAATATTTAACTGTTACTGTGTGAAAATAACGAATTTCACTGGTTCGTCTCGAAACACGTTTTTCCCCGTCGCTGGACACCATTGTTACTCATGTTCCGGCAAACATCCTTCTTTTCCCTATTCCTACGATAAAACGAGACAATTAACAACCGTAATAAAGAGGGCGATTAATAATCGTGCACCTAGCGCAACCCTTAATCGTCGAGACCGCCGTTTCGCACACGCGATCCCACACGCGTGCCAATATAACTCTCCCGTATTCTCGTCTACATAATCATATTGTATATCCTGCGAGAATGCAATGGTGTAACATGTATGTGTGTACGTGTCACGTGTGTATAAGTAATGTCACGCGTGAAATACCCGCGCCTGCTAGAAAAAGGAAATTAATTTAGGGGTCGCTAACCCTAACGCTACACGTATCCTCTCTACTCGTTAATGCGTGTTGTGTATGTAATTCCTCTTTATACCTGTACGTAGATACGTCGCGTGGTACACTAACTTCTCTATAAATCTAGACAATATATTTTCTTCCTCAACATTCATATATAATAATAATAATAAAAATATTATAATAATAATATTAATAATAATAATTATAATATAATAATAATAATAATATCTTCTCGGTCGTCGCGTGCTCGCGACGGGCACCGTTCATTAAACCTTTAGAAAATAAAAAGAATCAAACAGTTGCCCTGGCGTCACCTGGCTTCCCATTCTTTCTCGTCTGTTCTCGTCCGTCAGGTTCGCTACAGAGAAACTCCGCAAAGTACCATGAGAACGACGTCCATCAACGTGTCGCCGTATCCCTTTTGCTCT